AGGAATGTGACCAGCGTGGCCAAAGGGCATTCTTGCACCATAATGACCAAGACTTTTATAACCTGCTTCTCCGCGCCCCTGTGTCCAGATAGGACAGAAGAGGCCAGCTATGGGCTTTTCAGTTCCCAATTCTATACTCGGGGGCCCCCAGAATGAAAGCAGTGGATGGGAAGGGCTGGGTGTGCCCACTTCTAGTCCAGATAGAGATCCTCCGGGTTGGAGAGCGGGCGGCCAGAGATAGATGCTGCTGGGTTTCTGAGGAGAGGACATGCCCCTGCCCACCCGTGGGCCAGTCTAGGAGAGGTTTTGGGACTGGAAAACAGAAAGCATCCACGTACCCCCTTCCCAGGTACAGCCAAGGACAGTCCCCATCAGGAACACGACTGTCAGGGGTGTGTGGGCTGTGGGGTGACAAAGTGTCAAACTTTAAGATCTGGGCCCAGTTCAGAGGAGACAGGATTTCTGCCCCAGGGACGACAGCCAGGGTGTCCGTCCTGGCACAGGGACCTGGAACGACCTCTAGGTAGGGCTGGTTAGTAGATGGTGGCTTGCCGCCGAGCCCCCATTTGGCGGTGAGAAGCAGCCGCTTCAGGGTCCCACAGGAGACCTCTGGTTGCCTGGGCTGCCCGGCAAGGGGGGGTGTCACAGCCCCTCTGGGCTGTGAAAGCGCCAGGGGTTGAAGGCAATTTGAAGGGAGGACCCCGAACAATTGTCCTTTGAGGGCAAGAAGGGCAGGGCCAAGTCCTGAACTGTTCATGCCACAGTCTGGGCCCCACATGAGGTGGGCATGGGGCAGCCTCCGGATCCAGGTGTGAGTGGGAGCCTGTCTAGCTAGAATGAGAGGAATGGGCGTTCCTTAATATTCTCTGGTCACCACCAGTAACCCCTGGCTCAGTGTGACCATGGCTCAACCTGGCATTTCTGTCAACTGTGCCCCCTCTCCTTAGCCACGTCACCTGACCCGCTCAGGTCTCCTGTGACCAGTGAGGAACAATGAGCTGGCATGCCAAGGCCCCGCCTGAAGCCTTTTTCTGGACCGGCAGCACGGAGAGCCACCAGCAGAGGGCGCGCTGGGAAACACGTGGCCAACCACCTGGCCCTTCCCAGGGACCCCCTAACCTATGCACTGTAGTAGCCACTGGCCACACGTGACCATCAAGCACTTGAAGCGAAGCTGGTCTAAACCGAGAGGTGCTGTGTGCGTAAAATATACACTGGATCACATCAATTTCGTACAAAAAGAATGTAAATCTTATTGATGTTTTTATATTGATTACCTGTTAAAAGTGATAATATCTGAATACACTGGGTTAAATAAAATATATTATTGAAATTCATGTCACCTGTTTCTTTTCACTTTTACAACAGGGCTACCAGAAAATTTGAAATTACCTGTGTGGCTCATAATACATTTCTGTTGGACAGCACTAGTGCATACAATGGTTCTCAAAGTGTGGCCCGCAGGCCAGCACATCAGCATCACCCGGTGTCACAATGCAAATTCTCAGCCTCACCGAGACTTACTGAGTCAAAAACTCTAATGGGGCTTGGCAACTTGGGTATTAACCAGCCCTACAAGTGACCCTGCTTAAATTTGAGCATAACTGGTATAACCAATGCCATAGGTAGTAGTTTCCTGGCAGGAACTATGGAGGGTGATGCAGACAGAAGTGGCCCTGAAGTGGCTGTCCTCAGCTGAGTGGCCTGGCAGGGGACAGGTAGCCCAAGGAAGTAGAAGGATCAGACTCTGGGGAAGGGGGCTTGGTTCAAAGCTGCCTCACCCACAAAACGTGGGACCCAGGACCAGTTACATAGTCAACTTGGGGTCCCCCCTTCACCAGGAAAAGAGGGATGGTCATGTCAAGGGTGCCTTTTGGGGTCATTGTGAGGATTAAATGAGCCAGCACACCTGAGGAACCTGGCATATAGTAAGTGTTCAGTAAATGCTAGTTCTTAGCAAGGGGGTGAGAGGGCTGCTGTCTCCTCAAGAAGATGATGGTTCTACATGTTAGCATGAAGAGGCTCATCTTCCTTCCATTTTGAGGATTTGTCCCAGGTCATTCCACTGTGGTCCCTACAAGTGGCACAGCCCTCCCCACCGTGCTGTGCAGTGGGCAGCTGCCAGCGTGGACACCACCAGCCTGGTATTTCTGTCCAGGAAGCAACCTGGAATGAGCTGGACATGTTTGCAAATGTTACCTCATTATTTTTCCAATCATCCTACTGATTATCTCTCTGTTCCAATGAGGCTCAGAGTGGTTAAGTGACCTCCCCAAGGTCACACAGCCAAGGCTGGAACCCGACTCCAGCTTTGCAGTCAAATATTTGCAAGATATAAAACACAGGGATGCCTTGGGGAACTGGAGGTTGTCCACTAGCTTGCCAGCCTTCGGCTGCTGCCTGCAGCTGTCCCGGCTGCCGCAGAGGGCCTTTCCTACTGTCAGAGGAGAAAGGTGGCTACCCTAGGCTGAGCTCAGTGGTGCTTGATGCCTTTCCATAGGCCTAGCATGAGCGGGCCAAGGCCCTCAGTGGTCAAAGAAACTTCTGCTTGTGAGCAGAGGGAGGCTGCAGACCCCAGCCCCC